ACATGTTGCATTCATGCATAAGCATTCTACCCCGACTTTGTCCTTTATTAGGGGGAGTGTAGTAGCTATATTCTCGTAAGGTGATAACCTCTGCATGGGCTAGTGAACACTCCCACTTAAATTGAACCTAGTCCATTCGAAACCTGTAATGGGTGAGGATTGAGGTACCTTAATAGTCCGAGTGGACAACAGTGAGGAACAATTTGAGAACCTTTAGCCTCGTTCAAAATCAAATCCAACATATAGAGTGTCATAAGCACCTTTTCCCTAGGTAGAGCTTCACCTATGCGTCAAAGAGAAAGATCTTGAATTGGGCACAGATGAAGTAACTCCTTTTACACCTTTTGCCTTAAATTCCTCACCAAAAATAATAAGAATCATGGAGTAGATTACCTCCAATGACGTGAAAAATATCCATGACAATAGTTACTGTTTTTATTTCTAATGCAAGTTAATGTAATTCACCATATTGACTTGAATATTCTTTTTCTCTCTCTTTCATTTGTCATGCACCCATTTGCATCATTGCATATGGGGAAATAATGGCTATACAACAACTGTTGACTAAAGGAATCTTGATTACATTTATGGCATTGTCATCAACTAGCTTGCTTTATAAGTATAGGAACAACTATAAGGTCGAACTACAAATGAGACAAGCTCAACAAGATGAAAGAGATTGTTTGGCCAAGGGGCATATCCCAACTCTTTTAGAGAAGGCTCATTTTGATCTCAAACAAAATGACCTTTCAAAGATGAAAGAGATTTGGGAGCAATAGAGGCGTAGTAGTCAAGATAGTTTCTACAACAAGTATGGGCACATTGCATGGCTTTTCTATGTGCACGTGAATGATTAGCTACTTAAGGCAATCACTTAGTTTTGGGATCCTTCTTACTAGTATTTTGTGTTCAATGAAGTTGATATGAGACCAATAATAGAGGAATATTCATGCAATCACTTAGTTTTGGGATCCTTCTTACTGGTATTTTGTGTTCAATGAAGTCGATATGACACCAATAATAGAGGAATATTCATCATTACTTCATATAAACCAAATGTAACCGGACAAGGTACACTAGAGAGCTTAGAAGACCAAGCATTGGAAGAAACTGACCAAGTTGTTAAATGTCACCACTGGAGAGGTCAATCAAAACTTGAAGAAAAAAGGGGATATTGAGTGCCTTTCATGGAATTTCCTAAATAATTATATTTAGAAACACAAGGAAGATGAACAAGGTCATCTTGCCTTTGCCTTGACAATATTTGGGTTAGTGATCATCTCAAAAATCTTAAGACACGTTGAAGTCTCGATCATAGATTTCTTTGACCAAGTAACAAGGAACATCAACCTAGCTTCAGCCATCATAGTTGAGACATTGAGATCAATGAACTATTGTCGGCGGAAGGGTGAAGGGCATTTCATCGGTTGTGCCCAACTTCCCACCATATGGATAAAAAGCCACTTTGAATGCAAGGTTGATAGATTCTGAAAGCCATTCCTCTCATCAAGTTGTCCAATCCATGAATTCTGTGAAAGCGAATAACCAGTCTGCAAGAAAAAGGAAAAATGGATTACAAGACTTCGAAGGTTAATAAGTGTGTGGGTGACCTAGGGGGCTCCCTAGATGCCTAGGATGCAAGTGATGTACAAGTGTGGAGATGAACCATCGGTACCACTAATGGGACCTTGGGGAGTAAATAGTTATGCTCCAAAAATGGTACAAAGACAATTTGGATCTGAGCAATTTGTACCAATGACACACAAGCTCAACCAACTAGATTTCTCGTACAGAAAGTCGGGAACCCTTAAGAAGATCCAAGATATTATTCAAGCATAAAGAAAAATAAGTAGGGTGGATCAAGGAAGGTTCACTAATGAGGTCACCACTAGATATTTAGCTTGGCATGCCTAGCGAGTAAAAGATATCGTATGTCCTCTAAAAAG